AGTTATTTAGTTCATTTATAAAAACTTCAGCACTAAATAAGCTGAAGTTTTTTTGTCCTGAATAAACTTTTTCAAAAACTTCAGCAGAAGACGCTGAAGTTATTTAGTTCATTTTGTAAAAACTTCAACTTTTTTCCTAGATTCATTAGTTTTGTCATAAAGCTTTTTCAAAAATTTCAACAGAAGATGCTGAAGTTATTTAGTTCATTTGAAAAACTTCAACACTAAATAAGCTGAAGTTTTTGAAAAAGGTTTCTAACATACTAGATAAATAATCAGATTGCCAACAGTATCTAAATCACAAATTTGGGAGAAATTCAAAAATAGCCAGATTTACAACTGGTTTTTCAAAAATAGCCCAATTTTAAAAGTAATCAAAATTTAGCCACTTTTCATGTAAAGATAAATTTGAGCGATAACACTGTTCAAAACCCGAAAAATACGCCAGTATATTATACTGGAGTTCCAGGATAAGTATGCTGGAACTCCAGCATAAGTAGACTAGAATTCCAGCATAATATACTGGAGTTCCAGCAAGTATAATTGTCCAGTATAATATACTGGAGTTTGGAGCACCGGTGCTCCAGTCTCCAGTATATTATACTGGAGTCAGCAAAGTATACCGGTCAAACATAATATGCTGGAGTTCATACACAGGTGCACCGAACTCCAGTATATTATGCTGAACCGGTCTCTGTTACAGCAAAATAGTGGCTATTTTTCATTGACTTCATAAACACTGGCTATTTTTGAATGACCAGCCCGAAAATTGGCTATATCGTGCTATTTTTACCATAAATTTTGGAAACAATAAACGTGAAAAAAAACAAAATTATCATTGTCTACTAACTTACGTACGTGGAAATATTCACAAATTATTATCTACTAACTTACGTAATTATTTATAATTTGTTTTTAAATAATCTGATAAACATATTTATGATAATCATCCCATGAACTGAAGTTTTATAGCAGCACCAACAACAACAGAAGAAAGAAGAAGAAGAATAAAACGAAGGAGGAGGAGAAAGGGGGCTGAAGTTATTTAAAAAATGGGTACAAAAAAAAAATAAAAAATAAATGAATATAGGTTATTGGTCGTCCCATACAATTTTTACCACTAAATACGATCTTAGTCCAAAGGCCGAGAAAGGTATTCTTCAGTGTCCAAAGTTTAATATAAGTAAAATTAACCTGCCTTGGCCATGTTATCACTATTCTCGGATAAATTTGGGCAATTACACATTTAGCCAGCAGACCAAAAATAATTACATTCGTTGACCAACATTCAAAAAATATATATATAATATGTATATTTATATATTAATATACAAAAATACACAATTTGCCGACTATTATTTTTTTGGAGTGGCTATATAATGCAATTTCCCAATAATTTTCCCGTTTTGACATCAAACCCCTGATAAAACAAGACTAATAGACTACCTACAACACAAAACACACAGCCCTAGTAATAACTCAAGAAATCTAATAAAAAAAACTGTTTTCCTTTTTTTGGGATCATGTCTACCTTGGAAAAAAGTAGTTGAACTAATAAGATAATTATCATGCTTGAATCTCCCATAGAATAAAAATTTCAGATTGTACACAAGTTAATCCAAAACATAGGTCTACACCATTGGTCTAACGCAATAAACTTGTCCAAAAACAAATTGCAAAGTTTACACTTGGCATACAGAATTTTTTTCTGGTCCGAGTTACATATATTTTAAGACATTTGAACCCATATTCTGTTGCAGAAAGACCACCTGAAATGATTTTGCACCCAAACTTTACAGAGTCCCAGAGTCCTCAAACTTCCACCATCAGCTTCTTCAATCAGTTGATTCAGAAGCAAAGACGTTACATACAGCGAGGAAAGAACGTTTGCCCAACATAGCCTCCATGCATTGCCCTTCTAACGTTGGACTCGAACAACTTTGGGTTGTCTCTTAATACAGCAGCTGCGTCATGATTGAGGGGATCCTCGTGATTCGGCTCCTGCAGAATATCACAAGTTCTAACTGCTAAATACTTTATATGAGTGACAGTGAAGTATCTTTATATCGAGATTAAGAAAAATACCGTGAACAGATGATATAAGCCATAGATAATGGTGTTAATGTTGAGCACA